ATTCACACTAACACTGTTTTATTTGTGAAATGCATGTTTCCTAAATCCTGCAATCTGGATTCAATAGTCGTCCCATTTCTGGTCACGAAAAGGGTTTGCGTTTTTCTCAAAAGACCGCACCTCTAGGTCTATTGCGTGGCTGAACTGAACTCGCTTAGATATACCGCCACAACACATCACAGCCGGATCTCCAGCCATAGTCATACTGAAAAACGCCTTCGCGAGGAAAAGCGACAAGACTTGAAAACACGCGAACTCCGTGGTCGACGTTACGCAGCTTTTGAAAACGTATAACCGTCCGCAAAATATGCGTTTTCTGGGGTAGTGGGCTTGCGTATTGACGCCTGCGAAATATCCTTAGTATACGCAGCTCCTGCAGACACCCACTGTCGATGCGACGAGACGCACGACCACGCACATTCCGACGAGTCTGCAACAGACTCTATGCATTTTTTAAACCTTGGGAGGGCTGCAGAAATCTGTGTGTTGTCTTGCATACTGGGTACATGAACTGTCGCCTCAGCTAGAGCTGCTGCGTGCGCAGCAGCTCTGCGTGCGTTTTACTAAATTGGTCCTTTAACAACCTTGTTTGTTGGCCTAGCTGGCACTTGTTAATGACTTGTTCTTGCTTGATGACATATATAGCCACATATTACACTTACACAGAGCAAAAACATACACACAACACAGACAGGACGAGTGGCCGCCGGTTCAGTCATTGTGTTGTGTGTTTCTTTGCTCTGTGTAAGAGTTATTTTGCTGCTAAAATAGGTCATGAGTTTATAGCTTCATCATGTGGTGTTCAGAAGATTGATTCCTGTACGAAAGGAATCGAGTGTTTGCAAATTCACATGAGTGAATAAGTTTATCTCTCTCAATGATATTTTTTAAGAACTCAAGCTTCGCCATACATCACGTCATGTGTGGTGCCTGAATGATGAGGGGCACCCTCTACCCTAAGTGGACGAATGCCATTTATGTCCGTGGTCGACTCGCCCACAGAGCTTATTTCTGCTCACGTCCAGCAGTTTTGATCTGCAGGGGCTGCAGAATAAACTCCCATGGTGGCTAAGGCAGTGGCTCGTGTTGGTCGCCCTCTGGGAAGCACCTCATTGCATGGCCAACCAAACCTGTAGTCGAAGACCCCATACCTGACAGAAAAGAAGGAGGTGACATGGCTTGGACAAGAGCTGTTTCTGTTTAGGTTGGCTCTCTGAACCGGAACTCGACACACAGTGAAGGTCTAGAAGCATGAAGCACACCCTTGGTAAAAAAGGCAGGTAAGGCCAAAACTCCCTCGAGGCGGCACTCTCAAACCAGAGGCCCTTGTTGGTCCGATGGTTCGGCCAGAGTGACCGAGTGGGGTGAAAGGTAGTGGGTGCACAGCGTCAAAGCGGAATATTAGGAGAGCAATTCAGTTGAACAAGGCGAAAGCCACAGTAAAAGAGGCATGAGCAACTGCTGTCAAGGATTCAACTTAGCAAGGCTGATGACATTTTCATCAGTTCATCCCACAATACAAAGGTTCACTTAGTAGGTTCTACAACATGAGAAGTTCATTAAAATGGAAACCCATGGATGTCCCTATGAAGGTGCGATGCACTGTGCGTCCAGTGAAAAGTGAGTTTTGACGAGTCTCGCGTTGCATGAGGGTCTCAAAAGCTTCAAAATGGAGATCAAATCTAGGTTTGAATAATTAGCTAAACAGTAGCTGTATATATTGATAAAATCTATAGGTGGCTGACATGTTGAACGCCTTGGACATAAAGTCCAAAGCATTGGACGTTAACTCCTGCACCCTGAACGCTAAGGTTTCAGAAAGCTACCAGAAATCTTTCAAGCGTAGCCAGGGAGACTCATGCGGAAGTATTCAGAATGTGGCAGTGGAGCTGCTGGTTGTTTTTTTACTGTAAAAAGACGGTCTGTCAGCAATCCATTCATTCTCAGCCTTGAAAACCCGCACGTTATTTCGCTTGAAAATACACCTTAAGTTTACGTCGTTCTACCTGGTCACAAGTTGCAGGCTGCCTACGAAACCCGATCGAAATGTATTTGCAGGCTCGTCTTTCAGGTATGCATCTTCGTCACGCATGGTCACCAGTGATGTGAAAAACTTGCCGTTATAAATTATTCCAGAGGGAGGGGGGAGGGCAGTTTAGGTGCAGCATTTGCATCGTTCACATTCACAGCGCGGCAGTTCCTTCGTAGTTTCGATTTGAGACGAAGTTGAGTAGAGCTAACGGCAGGGCCGCATTATCTAGCTTGTGGCCGTGGGTGGCTGGCACTCCTCGTGGGGCGTGGGTTTACCTGAAGACCTCACCCAAAGGCGACTTGTAGCGTACAGTGGTGAACTTAGATTTCACGCTAGTCACGCACCTGGAATGCGCAACCAGGATGGCCAGTTCTTACGCGTGATACACCACGTGCGACCTTACCTTTCGTAGGTAAGTTGAATCTCCTAATTGATATACCTTGAACATATATATGTGGACTGACTATAATATCGTATGTACCCACGTAAGCTTAAAGAATAAACTCGTAGGAAAAGTTTCCGTCACGGTTTTGGAACACTTCTGGAAGATCAGAAAAGAATAGGCTGAAGCTTATGTCTCTCCTCGGGCTGGAACATTGCGTCGTTTATCTCAAGAAAGAAGATAATGAGGAGACAAAAATTGATCCCACAGATTCGAAAACAATGTGCATGGCCACCTAGCGCCTTTTGAGGTAGGAAAATCAGTGCTGCTTAGTTAGAGGGAGCAAAGGCTTAATTATGGACTCCTCAGCCCTAAGTAGGCATTCGTAGGATGAGGTTTGCAATTCTGTCTACGGACAACATACATTCAGGATTAGGGGGCAGGCGCACTTTGCTTAAACACCTTATCAATGTGTCAAATATTTTGACAAATCAACACCAAATCATTGGAAATTTTTAGTTAAATAGGTGATTTCTAAGCATCAGTTGGTAATAATAGACTTAACTTATCTAGGACTTAGAAGGCGTTGTATTCCTTCACTTTAGCCAATTTAGTGAAATCTCCCTGAAAAAACGCGGACAATAAAAGGACCAAAGAGCACTTACACAGAAAACTGATTCTTTATTAGTCATGAACAGACATATAAAGCAGAGGCATACTTTATTTCGCATGCGTTGTAAAATAAAGCTTCTAAAGATCAAGCTGAGCCAACTAGCCCAAATCCACGCACTTTTGCATTATGCCTGTAACTGTGTGTACACTTATACAATGAGAAATCACATAATTGCATAAAGTGATTTGAACGTTAGGTTAACCTCATTTGACTGTTCGGTAGAGCCACATTAGCTCACCCTAGCTCTTTACTGCAGGTCGCAAATGGCCTCGTCAGCTGCTTACGCGACTTCATTTCAGTTGCTCCAGGGTGTTCTTCATGTGCAGTGAGGGCGTCACTACCCTGTAATCTAGAACTAAGGCAAAAGGGGTTCTTACTAACCAATGTTGGAGAAAATAGAGCTGACATATTTTAAGCTTTTGTTAGGATGAAATTGATCTGACAGACAGGCAGGTCTGGAGGGCGTGGCCTACGACTGCCAGGAGCAATATTGTTCCATAAGAGAAACACGCAAGAACAACTGACTGCACAGGACGCCTGAATGAAAATATTTTTCTTCCAACAGATGAACGTGCAGGTTAGGTAACCCATGAATCACGTCTAGAAAGGCCTCCGCAGAAATGTTACATCTCGTTACGAAGGCCTACTTGGTGATGAGCTCAGGTGTACATTGTTTCACTCGCTGCAATATGGAACTTCATGGTTGATAGAGCCTTAACAAATACCTGTGCAGTTTGGTTCATGAGCTTATTCGATGCCATGTTGAATTTTTCATGCCAGCTATAGTTAAGCCGCACAATGACCAACATTTTTAAGATATTTAAGGAACAGTGTTTCGAGATGTTTAGCTCTTGTGTAATAAAGAAGTAAGATCAAGTACATTGACCTTCCAGTTCGCAGGCTTCCGCTGAAAATACAAACCTAGTTTTTATAGCAATCTGGTAAGTTGAAGTTATAGTCAGTGTTCATTGAACGTTGCTGTGGAATGCATACCTAATAGAAAAGGATCACATACTTTGCGTATACAGCAAACAACGAGACAGAATGCAGACTCTCTTAAAACAGCAAGCACTACAGAAACTGCAAAACACACTAACACATAGCCTGCCTATGATGTGGTAATAGGAAAGGCATCACTGAAGAACGCGCTCGCAAAAAAAGGCAATAATTACTTTCCTTTTTCTGTACAGATGCGCACTGTTTCATAGGAGCTCGCGTAGGCGTATAAATAAGGATAGCATATAAATAGGTAACAAATTAATCCCACGTGGTCACCACGGCTGCTTCTGGGACGGGCCAATATGTTTAGAATTCATGAAATCGTCACGTCAGGAGACTGGTGGTATATATTTGCGAACTAGTATATATCGTGGCAACAAACAGCACCTCGCTGTTGCAGTCAGTCGTATTTTACACGTATGCTTTATTGGTGCACAAAAAAAATTTTCAATGAACTTGTGAAAACCAACCACAGCCGCGAAATGAGGCATACTAGTTTGATCAGGTACTATTGCTGCACCTAATGGTTGGTCGCTCTAAGTTACACTACATGTTTTCAGAGATGGGCCCCTTCTTTCTAAATTCTGAAAATCACGAGTAAAAGCAACTAGTGAACCACATGAAATGTTATACCGGTAACTTTACCGGTGACACGATATTCGTGCAGAGTTGCTAAAATTATAGTTTAGCACCAAAATGCACAACTGATGCACAAAACCCCAGAATAAAAGCGGTTCTGTGTGTCCGTTGCTACATCATTTACGTTATTACATTTTAGTGCTACATTATGATTTCCAGTTGCATCAACTAGCCCAAAAACCAGTCTTTTTTTATGTAGTCTTGGAGCGCTGATTGTAGGTGTGTAAGACAAAAAACAACAAATCGAAACAGATAATTGAAAACCAGGTGATACGATGCCTGTTGTGTACGCAGCGCCGTGCGATGTTGTGCAGATGGCGGTGGCTGATGATGGGTGAGGAGTGACAGCCTGTATTTCGCTGTCTGTCATTTCCGCGATGTTTACGTTCGCTTGACATCCCAGAGACCACTAGTTCATCAACCAGCTGCTTTTGTGTCTCATGAGAGGTCATCACCCGTTCTACCTCCTAGTGACTGAGATCTCATACAAAGTCACTTACTATACTAACTGCAATATAGTAAAAGTGCTTTGTGGTGGTGATTTACGAATGACTGCTTAGAAGTGTAAGCACATACAAGGAAAGAAAGCAACGTGAGGACTTCTTGTGTTAATGAGTCATTACTCATGTACCTGGCGAACAAACATTTGCTAATTAAAAATAAAATACCTAAATTTCTATTGAATTTCACATTTATTCGAACTGCTCGTTTAACTTTCTTTGTCTTGCGAAATAGCCTCATTAAAACATTCTCATCATTTTCACCTTCGCGCGAGCAATTGAGCGCCTACAGCGTGAAAGATGCTGAGAAAGTCTGAGTTTTGCCAGGACGCCCTTTTAATTTAAACATCGCGACGTTCAACGATAGAATGCTATCATGTGAGCCTAGTGTAGCTGTGCTAGGAAGTTAGGAACATATGCGACGCTTATACGGTGCTCATGACCGGACACGTCTGATGATATGAGGGATAAGAAGACAAAAATTACCTAGGCGTTGGGTTTCTTACACTGCTGATTATCCCTAGCAACTTAGCGGAATACTGTAGAATCAGTGCGAGGGTGGCAAGTACAATATTTCAGTTCAACAAAAAATGCAAGATGAAGGATGTACAGGCCTACGCGCCTACATCGACCTATAATGGCCATTTGGTTGAACGTATTTGTGAAGACGTAGAGTAAGCTATAAAGAAGTTAATGCACAGTATACTGTCCTGATGGGCGACTTTAATGCCTAGGTAGGCAAGAAACAAGCTGGAGACCATGCAGGCAGGGAATATGGCATCGGCTGTAGAAAGGCCAAAAGAGAGGTATTTGTGGAAAACGTTTTTACAGACCTTGAAAACCTTCTTCAGAAAATGGGCTAACCGCAAGTGGACATGGCAAAGCCCTAATGACGAAACTGAAAAAAATAAATAGACTTCATCCAATCTTGCCCTTCCAGGCATTGTACAGGATATAGAAGTAGTTGGTAAGATCTGATGCTGCGGTTATAAACTGGTGAGAGCTTGTGTTAACCTAGATTTAGAACTGCAAAGGCATAAACTAACCCACAAAAGAAAATTATTGAGCTGGTGGTGAGAGGGAAAGTACAGGAGTTCATAATTTTGCTTCGGTATAGACACAAGGCTTTAAATGAGGTAACCGACCTTAGCGTTGACACAATGAATAATAACCTTACTAGTGTCATCAAACATTGTGAAAGAGAATTCGGAGGTACTGTATCTCAAGAGGACACGGAGGGATCGTCCAGGTTGCGTAGGAGCTTGTTGGTGATGCTGTCGGAGCCAGGGGCTGAGCGGTCATTGAGCGGCACATATCTTCAATAGAAAAGTCGGCGTCTAAGTTGGTGTTGTCGCTGCCAGAGCTAGTAATCGGGGTGAGGGGTCACAGGGCCCGTGGAATGCGGGAGATATTTTTCCACGAGGTTCTTGACAACATCTCTTGGTGACACTGTCTGTTTAGCTTGATGAAGTATCTTCCCGATCGAATGACGCAGATTTGTGCGGGTGTTTCTTAAATTGAGGAGGTGTTTGAGTAAGTTCCACGTTTTGCCATTACGAACCTAAACATCAATCGAGTTACAAATTTCGTCCCACTGCTGTTTTGAAAGGGTGTCACGGATCCCGTTAATTAGGGAGGCGATCGCCGAGATAATTTCAAGGACCGAAATATAAGCCACCCGAACTGCACCACAAAAGCTTGGACAGTTTAGAAGTGGTCCTATTTGGCGTGCCAGTGGACGCTGGCTGTGGCCCAAAGAACAAGTCAGAGCCGAGAGTTGATAAACAAAACAAAACTATATTCTCAATTACGGCAGATCAAATCGATACACAAGTATGCACACTCGACAATAGTTGAATACAATATGTCATCAATTAAACAACGTACTACACAGTACAATCAGCCACACACGAAACAATGGACACAGACAACAATACGCACTACAAAGCAGCCGCATGCATCGAACAACCAAGACACTTAAAGACTTAAGAGTTAGAAAACCTATTCAGTCCAAAGTTCTTGGAACAAAAGTCTGAATGATACTCATCCGAGAATCACTCACTGAAAGTCCAGCGTTGTTATCGTTCCGCTGCCCCCGAAGTTTCTCTTCCAGGAAACCTCGCGTCTTCAATTGGCCGCTCTCCAGGCTCCAAACTTCTTTGCCAGTAACACGTCGGCTTCCCAGACGCAGCTGTTGTCACGCGTCTTCGCTCGCTGGCGGTAGACACACACTTTTGCCTGTAGCTCGAGTCTTCACCCCTCAGGTGGAAATCCTCTTTTTCTCCTCCTTTGTCACGGAAGACAAAAGGCTTCGCCCACAAGGCGGAACACCCTACGCACTCTGGTGCATACTTTCTTCTTCTCCTGATCTCCCCTCTCTGCTGCTCGGTTAAACACCCTTCGCGCTAGGTTCTCATCGTTTCGTCAGCGCGATACACTGCGAAGGCTGGGGAAAGCACGGGACGGTTCGAGGGTCATCCGCGACAGATGACGCAACCCTGCATCATCACGCCCCTTTCCATCGAGAACTTTCCAGGGCTTAATCAGCCGCCGATGTGAGGAGGTTCGTCGGCGAACCTACGCTTCCGAAAGGAGAGGGAAGCGCGTCCGGGGAGTGTTTGGATGCTTGTTTTTTTTTTATTGTTGACCTCGAGGCGTCTCTCCGGTGCTTCGTCGCGAGAATTTGGCGGCGCGCCCTTTTTTGAGCGCTCATTTTGTGACAAAGGGTGCGGCACTGATCCATCATGGTCTTGTTCAGCTGAGATATGCGTTTGCGTAACCTCCGATTAAGGCGCTGGCCCTTCCACCGGCCGAATACAGACAGTTTGGCCTCAAGTAGGTGGGCGAGACGACTGCCCATCTTTTCGGTTGAAAGGTCTGTACTGATAGTTTTGGTTGCCTTGTTTACATCAGCTTTGAGCTGGGCCGTCCACGTCTCGAGTTTCGGTGGGGTATCAGAGGAGGTCGTTCTGCGCGGGTCTTACGAAGGAGGTCCCAGTCGACCCACGTGTACGACTTGGTCTTCCTTCTTACTGTGGGGAGGTGTACGGCCAATATGAAGTGGTCGCTATTGAGATCAACCGCAAGGTTGGACCAGCGGCCGTCGGCGATATTCTTGACGAAGCAGAGATCCGGTGTAGTGTCTCTTTGCGTGGACGGACCGGTGCGAGTGGGAAAGGCCTTGTCCGAAATGAGAATAAGGCCCATGTCATTCGCAATTTTCCAAAGCTAGTTACCTTTGGGTCTGTCGTACGTGTAGCCCCAGGTGCTAGGCGCGGTATTAAAATCCCCCGCAATCACAAGCGGGTTAGGCCTCCCGAGATGGACAGCTTTCTGGAACGAGCGTGTGAATCTTTCTTTATGGTGGCTGGGACTACTGTATACAATGAGCATGTACACGCTTTGTTGTGATATGTTGCCAGGGAAAATTTCGACCAAAACATGTTCACTTTCAGGCACATTGAGACTGCGCCGTGCAGGTAATCTTGTTAGCGACCAGGGTGGCGGTATTGTGCCCTCCCCAGGAGCCGGGCAACCACTGGTATCCGGAAAACGTGGCGGTTGGTACTACAGTCTCTTGTAATAGCATGATGTGAGGTTTGGCTTCGTGGCTACGGAGGTATTGCTGCAGGAAGGCTTTCTTGTGGGCGAAGCTCCTGCAGTTCTCTTGCCAGATTCACAACTCGTCAATTGACCTGGCCATCTTGAAACATGTAGGAGTCGGCCTGAGCACCCGGCGGGTGCATAAAGGCTGCGTGAAGTGGTGGACTGGGCACGGCTGTTCGTTGCGACAACGGCTTACCAGCGGCCACGGCAGGGACGACGACGTGATCGAGATATTGCTAAGCTTGCCCCAACCGATTGCCATGTGCCCCGAGGGCAGACTGCACGAGAACCATCCTTTCGCCCAGAAAGCGAAAGTTTTCCTTAATGGCCGATAGCGTGCTCCTAATGTCGTCTAACTATGCCTTTAAAGCTGGCTTGTCGTGGGTGACCGCGTGTTTCTTGAGTGCACTCTCGCCGTCGTCGTTACGGGCACCTACGTGTTCCGGCTGCAACGGGTTGACTGCATTGTCGTCGTTGTCGGTTGTGGGCGTAGCAGCGCGTGCGTATCTGTCAGTTTTCAGTTCAGCAATTGCGACTGTGAGTTTCCGTATTGTTTCTTTCATCAACGTATTTTCTTGCTTTAAGATCGCTAACTCAGATGTGTGTGTATCATGCTCTGGGAGTGAACCCGACACTACCTGTGATGTAGAGTTTCCTTTTCCCCGGACGGCGTCCGCCCAATTGAGAGTTCCCCGCTTATTCTTGTTGGCGCTGCCTGGCGATGGTGGTGCCGATGGGCTCGGTGATTGTTGACGCGAGACCCCCGTGAGACTGGGGTGAGGCCAGAAACCAGCGTGAGGCCCGGAATCAGAGTGGGAACCGAAGCGTGACCTGAAGCGTGACCCGGGCCGGGAACCTGAACGGGAACTGTGACGTGAACTGGAACGAAACCTGGAGTAGCATCGCGATGTAGATCTGGTTGGGGTCCCACTTCGCGCGCTCCGGGAATGGGTCCGAGGGTGGCTCCGGGACCTCGATACACGCATGGTGCGGTTCCTGGGACGACTCCGGGGTCGGGACCGGGATCGGCTGCCATCGGATCGACCGTCTGTAGAAAGCTTCGAGGCTTGGTCGTCGTCAGCGATTGCGTTGAACTCGTTCAATGCTTCGTAACTGTTGTGTCGCGTCGAGTGTGCTCGCTCTCATCATCGTCGGCGCACCACGTATGGAATGTTGTAGCATTCTTTACATTCCTTGTTGGTAGCTAGGTGGGCTCCTCCACAAAGCTTGCATGTCGATGTGCAGTGGTGTTCTTTTTCGGGGTTCGGCACGCTGCAGCCCCTGCAGATAACGTCTTCAGGGTTCGGGCACAGGTCCGCTCGATGGCCGAGCCGACCGCAGGCGTAGCAAGTATCTGTCTGTCTACGGTATAGTGTACATTGAAGTAGCACCGATCCGTATCGCACAAAATTGGGCACGCGATATCCATCGAAGGCCACGATCACTGCGGTGGTACTTCCGATGCGCTTGGCGTTCAAAGCTAGTGGATTGCAGTCGTTGACAATCTTCGCATCAATGTCCACCGAACCGTCTTGCACGGGAATCCCTCAAATGACGCCTTTGCATGTAGAATGTGGTGCCGCTTTGCAGGCACTAACTTCATAGGTCTTGTCAGTGACGCGGATTTCTTTAACGCGCACGTAGCGATTAGCATTTTCTCTCGTCGGCGTGCTTGCTACTAAGATATTCTGTTTAATGTTGGGGCAGAGCGTGTCTGCTTGCTGTTCCAATGGGCTGATACCTGTGAAGTTGAAATGGCTTCAGCGATTGTTGTTGGGCCAACCCTAACGATCTTAAGACCCCGTCTGGGCCTAAAGATAATGCGGATGTTGTTCTTTGGTAGTTGAGGCATTCGGCTTTCTCGAATAATTTTGTTCTTCACATTTTCTCTGTTGCGGGGCTTGTGCTCGTTGCGTTTCGAAGCGCTATACGACGGCACAAGTTTAGAGCCTTCACTTTGGGCTAGGCGACATGAGGCGGTCTGCAGCCTTGTTCTGGCGTGACTTTCTTCGGGTCGATGTCTTCCCCGATCACTTGCTACTCCATCGCTCAGCGAGACAGTGCAGCTACAGGGCGCGCGAGTGAGCGCGCGTCACGTTACAGCGAAGAAGACACTCGTCAGGGCTAGCTGTCTGCGGGCAAGCGACGATGGCGGAGGCAAAATAAAATGCAAGAAGCAAGCACTCACTGCGCCCAAATTGTTTCGGCAGAGTCTTTGCAACATGTGTCTTCTGGAAGTCGTTGCACTAATATAACGTTGAAATCGCAAATGGTCGTCGCAAAAACGTTGAATAAAGCAGTACCGTTGTGGAAGTGTTCGCACGCTTCGGCTTCTTTATGTTATTCATGTTCTTCTTTATGTTGTTTAAGTTATGCGAATTATGTCGAGGGAAGGTGCCTGTGTTACATTTTTTATTGAGCGAAACATCATGAAACTACACTAAATATATGTACAAATGTTGCACGCACAGACATATAGTGAAGAGTTGCATATGTTTATATCACCAGTTGTTTGCACTTGCGCAACAACGCCAACTCGAACAGAAATATTACAAACACTAGAAGCTGATATGAAGCACTGACGCTCGCGAGGATGCTGATCCTGGACACTGCTACTTAAATTAACTTCAGCGCGTGGCAACCAGCTACAACTGACGATAACGCGACGTGACGGCTGTATCAAAGGAGTACATATGTAATGTTTATAAAATTGGGTCTAGAGGCAGCACTGCAATAACTATTGACGTTTCAGGAAGATTAGCGTCTATTCGAAAAGTAATTCAGAGACATGGCGTATCTCTGTGGTAAAATACTTCATTGCCACGGGACCGGGATTGCCACGCAGAATACTTGGATTCGATTCCAGCTGGGACATTGGAATTTATGCTTTACATTCGTCCGGTCGACGCTAGCGAGGTCGGGTATTTTGTAGCGCTCACACGCTACACTTGTCCAGGTATGTTCTCGTCGTTCCTGGGTAGATACTAAGTGTCAATCACTTGTGGCACATACCCGCATACCAGCGGCACATACGCGTCCGTGTGTGTGTGTGCTACTGTCTGACGGGAAGTGTTTGACAAGATTAGATTAAATTTGTGGGGTTTAACGTTCCAAAACCACCATATGATTATGGGAGACGCCGTAGTGGAGGGCTCCGGAAATTTTGACCACCTGGGGTTCTTTAACGTGCTCCCAAATCAGAGTACACGGGCCTACAACATTTCCGCCTCCACCGGAAACGCAGCCGCCGCAGCCGGGATTTGAACCCGCGACCTGCGGGTCAGCAGCCGAGTACCTTAGCCACTTTACCACCGCGGCGGGGCAGTGTCTGACGATGTATGCGACGAGATTGTGACATTATACATGTTTTGAGGAGCGCGTCATATTTGTCAAACCAGCTTACCTTCCCGCGCTAATTTTGTATCACGCAAAGTTAAGAGGGTGACGATGAAAGCACCCCAAGGTAAGCGGTTCTAAAGATAGATAAATACGCTAAAAAAAAGTTCCCCGAAAACGCATCTCCAGCTAGCACAGTATTTTTCTTGGCTGTATGTAGCACGTAGGAATATTTTTTTAATCCAACAAACACACTAGTTAGCAATCATTGCTTAATAAAATTTTTAAATACTGAGGGAAGAGAAGAACATTTATTACGAGATTTGTAGCATTTATCTGGACATAAGAAAGTTTTCAATTTACGGTCGATAACAATGCTGGTTATTTTCAATGCACGGTATGTTTAAAGTGCACGAAAAAAAATACCACGTAATGGCCGCCTAGCGCGTGGCACTTTGAGTGCCCTTAAATGTAAGTTGAATGAATTAGCGAAGGCTTCTCACGCACGAAGGTCGCTTGAACAGGCTAACGGTGACTAAGATGGACATTTGCGATGGTTGAATGGTACCACTAAAAGGGGGGGGGCGAAAAAATAAAACGAAGACAATAAACTTCGAAGACAATAAATGAAAAAAAGACAATAAACGAAGACAATAAAATAGACTGGAGGTAACAATCGGCGCAGCGTCGACGTTTTGTTTTCTTTTCAGGCCAACGATAAACATGATGGTGGGAAAGGGGGCAATATTTTGGTAAAAAAAAATATCAAAAGCACGATGAGAATACGTGGTGCGCAGTTTTTTTTGGACACGCTCCGACAAGGAAAAGTCTTAGGCTGGAACGACCCGTTTCACTAATGAAGAACATGCGAGTATGGTTCTAGCCCTCGGCCGAGCGAATGGAAACAGGAGAGACGCGGCAAGATTATTTCGCAGATGACACCCCGTAATACGTGTAATTAGTTCGACATTTGGTGCGAAATTAATAAAAAACGCTCACGGAGACAGGCACATTCAAAAAGCGGCGTCAGCGTACAAAATGTGTGACTTTGTATCTTAAAACAGACATTGTTGCGCACATGGCAGTCCATCCTTACACAAGCGTGCGCAACATCAATGCTGCGACCGGCGTTTCCAGCAGTAGCATTAGTCGCGTACTCAAGAGTGGAGGACTTCACCCTTATCATGTTCAGCTGCATCAACAGCTGCAGGACAGAGATTTTCAAAGCCGTCTTGAATTCTGCAACCTGATACTCATTGAGGAAGAAGGTAATCCCGGCTTTCTGAAACACATAATCTGGTCCGACGAACCTCGCTTCTCGCGCAATGCCCAAGTCAAAGTTCAGAATGGTCATTACTGGAGCGCTACAAATTTTCACTGGCTGTTGCGGTCACAACACCAAGTGCAGTGGTCTTTCGGTGTATCGCGTGCCGTTTTCGATGACAAAGTTATGGGCCCGGTCTTTTTCAATAGAACACTCACCGCAGAACGCTACATCAGTGAAATACTAATTGGCCCACTGAGTGACTTCACCTGCAACATCCCCCTAGCATAGCTTGGATATATCTGGTTCCAGCAACACGCAGCTCCTCTGCACAGCTGCACGCAGACTCGAGCAAGGCTTTATCCAGGTAATAAGGGCTGCAGCGCGAGCACGAATGTGCTAGAAGAAACAGACAAAGTCAAGGTACGGAAGGCAAAAGAGGTAGCGCTCGTGTTGTCCTCTTTTGCCTTCCGTACCTCGACTTTGTCTGTTTCTTCTAGCACATTCGTGCTCGCGCTGCAGCCCTTATTACTATGAATTCAAACCAACTAGCCCAAATCGCCATTCTTCTTTATCCAGGATTTCCCCAGAAATGAATCGGCCGTCTTGGGCCTGTAGAGTGGCTCCCAAGATTCCATGATTTGACTCCGCTGCACTTCTTGCTATGGGGATACATTAAATACCACGTCTACACCGATGCTATCCTACTTTGTTATTTATTTATTGGTCTGTATTTGTATATACTGCCAATCCTGAAGGAATCATAAGCGGAGGGCGTTCACATTTATGGCAGTTTTTCAACATTCGCGTTGATTTTACTTTATGTAACGGCAATCATAGAAACAGTGACTGTGGTAGAAAGAGTCACGTAATTAGGACGACGAGAATGAAAAGTGCTCGTGGGCAAAATAACACCGACGGGTTAGTCACAGCTGAGTGAAAACGCCAATCTCCTGAAGTGCAGAACAAAGAAAAATGCTGGAACTAATAATATCCGTGCGAAAAGAAATGGAGCTTTTTCATATAAAATATAACCAGTTTAGAAACAAAGCCACGGGTGTCATGTTCCAGTAATTCTCCTTTCTCAGGCGTGATCACTGGCCATTTCGGATGACTAGTTCAAAGCAGCGTATAAAAACTGGCCCTTTCAATTTACCTCTCATAACTACCGCCTGCCGTCACGATCCTTCTTTTGACACTGTTCGCGTATATGATTCCCCCAGTTTCGGTGTCCAGTGCGACGCAACCTTAATGCGCTGTCTTCAAATGGGCCCTACACTGAGGTCATCTTATTTCAGAAATGTGGTAGGATCGTTATGCACCGTGTCAATGCTCTTATTAGGAGTTATTCTTCTCCCGATATTACTTATGTCTCACAAAATACGTGAGATTTTCCTAGTCCTGTTTTTCTGGGAAGTCACCACCATTTGGTCCGAAGACTTTGACAAGTCCAGGCGCCACGCTCTGAAGCCCCTGCAGTCCATCGAGTAGCACGATCCACAGCTTAGAAAGAAGGGTGTGATCAGAATGCTGGAAATAGGAGCTGGAATGGGTGGCAACTCCCCGCACATCACTCGCACAGTTATGTATACCAACGTTGACCCAAATGTACAGTTTCGTTCGACGTTTATCAAGGAACTATGCTCAAACCCGATGGTATTTTTACTTTTTTTTTATAAAAAAAAGAGTTTAAGTCGTTGTTTTCCGCTTACAAGCACTGCCGAAGTAAACGTAGGTAATCTTAGATTCTAGATTACTAAATTTTCCCAAATGTATTTATTTGATAGGATGCTCTTAAATTATGCAAAACGAACAAAACCCAAGTAGGAAAACATATATTATCACCAGCTAAAATGTTTTCTGCGCTCATGAAGTTCATTGTTTGTTTGTTTTTTTTGTTTTCTCACACGTGCCCTCCTCGTTTCGCGTAAATTAGGAACGTCTTACAAAAATTACCGAACTAATGCACCATAATTATACTGATGTACATTTATCGCGCTCTCTAAATGTGGATGATTCGTTTTTCTTTTTGTCCTCTGTCACTGCCATTCCATAAAGCGCGCTCGTTGTTGGCAATGAAGTGCTGGCTTAATCAGTAAAATGTTTAGTTGCTTCATTTTCAATAGCTGTTGTGTGAGGTACGGCTTCACAAGTGTGCACGTGTGCACAAGTGTGCAATACGTGTTGTGCGCAGTACAGCTGTACAAGAGCAGGCCTAGCTGTTCAATGTGGAACTTCAGTGAATTTGCTGAAGTAAACCTTTTAAGGAAAAGATTCTGATGGCTGCTATAGTTCTCTGAAAATACGACTGTTCATGGCTCTTGGTGTGTGAACATTTTCTTTTTATTGCCTCGTTCTTTCAAAGTAATTTCTCTCGAGAGTGATTTTGACCCCTAGTGATAGTGCGCGTTACAGTGTTTGTTCTTGAATCATTGGTGTCCGTCATAAGTTATGCTTTTTCTCATTATCACACTTTGATAAACGTTTTTACATTGTTAATTTAGGCTTGTAAGTACAATAAAGCTTGTCCGCCTACTTATAGACCATACGTTAAAAAGTTTGAAAAAAGATAACACTTTATTTGGTCATCAAGTTGACTTTCATATTCATGCGCAAATATAAACCCCGTTAAATTAATAAAAGCTCCAGCAATAACACTCTCACGACCCACTTTTCACGATTAGTTTTGTGTATTATATATTCAGTGCAATCTCAAAGCTCGGTAAACTGCATAAAAAGACCCTAATGATGGCATTTTCTTTTTATTTCACAATTGCAAGCACAGTTTGCACGCGGGGCTTGCTATAGTCAAGCCGCTTATGAAACCTAATGAATGCCTTGGTGTACGAGTGCAAATATTCATGTTGTGTAGGAGAGCACAGAAATTGTACACATTCGCAAGCGCATAAAGTATGCTTGAGAACTTTGTTGTTGACCACTATCATCGAAGAATACAATATAGACATCTATTTCCAGCATACAATGTTAAGGACTATATCAAATATTTTGGAAACAGTTTAGCGCCATATAAAAGGCAAGGATCTTCTGTAACCAAAAAGCAGTAATGTACTGTGCAGTGAATAAAAGAGTAATTTCACGAGCATAATGTTCAGAATAAGCATTCTTCATGGCTCTAATGTCATCATCATTTTCAATTTTTATGACACTTCTTTAAAAATTTATGTAATCCACTTTCTCAAAAACAGAATACTTATCATAAAACTTGTTGGCTCATAAATAAATCACTTATTCTTGAGATTTGTCTTTTCAAGCCGATGTACCTACGTTTGCGCTAGACAGTTGACTCCACATTTAAACGTCAAACCTGACGAGAAGAGTGATATGGGTAGTTAAAGTATTTATTGTATATTTATGTACATAAAACTTTAATATAAATACCTCAAGTACTGTATAAAACTCTGGTTTCTTGAAAGTGCCAATAACGAGAATGAGGGCGTCCAAGAAATTTTTGATACAGCTACCATGAAGTTATTAAAAAGTACTTCAGTGTTTAGGCCGATTAGTCAATTAGGTGATTTTTTAGCAGACTACAAATATTCTTGTTGAGCCGCAGAACTTGCCAAATAGTACAACTGCCTGATCATCACGATATTTTTTGGGAAATCGGCATTTTCCAAAATAAAACTCTCTGCACGGGCAGTAGAATGTCAGAGCGAACCGGAAGAATGACCTGCTATGGCACCTACAGCAAGTACACGGCACTGATCATACTGTTGAATGTTCTCATCTACCGAAGCACGGCAAACATATGCAGAAAAGTATCAAGTTTCTAGCTAGAGATATGCAGTTTTTTATAGACCTTGGTAATACCAGAGTAAGCTCTCCGAACACAAATGCTATTGCAGCCTGTCGACTGCTATACAGGATAGGAAAGCACCCACGCAGGCTACAAAGTACGCTACACCGATTTAAGGCTGCAGATGAATTTTGTTGAAACCCAGAATATTTGGGTACCTATGAAGCATCCTCGTTAAGCCACTGCCATCAACGTCCTTACCGGACCACTCTTCATGCACTTCACCACAGCCGTTCGAATAAATTTAGCATCTTTCGAACTCGCTGCTACCACACAGCAAAAACGTCTCTGATCCATCAGTCTATAGGCATCGCTATAGAACGAAAGGGAAGTGTTTCACAGAGGCAGTCAAGCGTTTCTTTCGCATTGCTTCGCCATAAAGGTGAAGTAATGAGTACAACCGCAACAAATAGGATATTACAAAGTGTAAAGCAGCCTGAAATGTGCAGCTCGCACCTCGAACACAAACCACGAACTAAATGAGCGTGCTCAGGGCGAGCGCAGACCAACAACAGTCAAACAGAAAGATGCACAAAAGGAACACACAAGTACACGCAGGACGTGCGCGAACTGTCATATGTCTTACTTGTTCATGCGTAAGCAGTGCACAGCTTTCGGGATTGCGACCGCAGCAGCGTGCGAAGTGACCTGTGTGCACACTCAAATCACAAGACAAGCACGCGCACACTGCAAAGCAAGGGGCAACAATCTTTAGAGTGCACTCAACGCTCGTCCTCAACGTCATCTCACTACTGATGACGAAAACATGTTGAAGTTGCTGAGCTCTGAGAACTGCCAACGGTATATATATATATATATATATATATATATATATATATATATATATATATATATATATATATATATTGTGAGCGCTGACTATGTACTTCATCTTCATCTGTATGACCAAACCATTGTAGTGGTCATCATCGTATGTCACGCGGGCTGTCTCTCTGGCTCGTGCGTCTGGATTAAAAAAGGATAACCTGGTTGCTGCCGTACCAGACGTGGTCTCATAAGTGGTGGAGCGTGCTTTGGTTCCCACGTCCTCCTGCTCTACCCGTCACCCCTGGAGCTCCGGTCTGGTCGACGGTTGTGCCCTTAAGCAACAGCAATGGCAGAACCCAACCCTTTCTAACTTGCTGCCCTCTTTCACGAAAGGGGGAAAATAGTGTGAGCGCTGACTATGTACTTCATCTTCATCTGTATGACCAAACCATTGTAGTGATCATCATCGTATGTCACGCGGGCTGTCTCTCTGGCTCGTGCGTCTGGATTAAAAAAGGATAACCTGGTTGCTGCCGTACCGGACGTGGTCTCATAATATATATATATATATTGAGAGATAACTTGCTGTTAAAAAAAAGGTACTCTTGACGGCCTAGTGGTTTTGCGCCGCGAGTATGAGGATGAGAGGGCGTACGTTCGATGCTCAGTAAAGGAAAGTTTTCTGCTTGTTTTAGGCCATCAAGAGTACCTGTTTTTCAACAGCAATTTATCTATCAATTTATATATATATATATATATATATATATATATATACATAGAGAGAGAGAGAGATACAGAGAGAGAGAGAGATAACTTGCTGTTAAAAAAAAGGTACTCTTGACGGCCTAGTTGTTTTGCGCTGCGAGTATGGGGATGAGAGGGCGTACGTTCGATGCTCAATAAAGGAAAATTTTCTGCTTGTTTTCAGCTTTGCAGTGGAATAGCAAATATTTTACAATGTCACATCTGCGACGGAAAGTAGTCAAAGGAGCCGTGGTAAACTTTGGTATAGACCTCTTTCGTGTTAAAAGCGTTTACTGCATGACATATCGACTAAGGCCACGAAAAGCTGCTAGCGGAGAAGATAATGATGAATCGCCACTCAACCTTTATTCATTACCAGGTTGCTTAAAGCAAACCAAATGTGGTATAGTGTGCGTCTGCATCGTTCTCAGCTCATGGCCGAAGGCTTTACCCCTGGAGGGATACAACGCCGCTATCGATGCCGCTATTGCGGGTGGTGACAAGATTCAGAGTATTCATTAGTAATAGGTTGAAACCAATAATGTCCCTCGACGTGGCGACACAGATAGTGCAATGCAACGCCCCTGCCATGCATGTACCTCCGTACGCCCACTCGTTACTTCTCGATAGACAAACAGCAATCTTGCATCTAGTAGTGCGGGTCAGTAGTGCTGGAGCCCTTTCGAGTGACATGACGTCACTTTTGTTTTGCTTCCAAACACACGCGGTCGAGCACTCAATGCTTTCAGAATATTTACAAAGGCTTTTCTAAAAAACGAAACTGGAACGCACTCATATCTGGTGCAACAGCAGTTATGCATATAATACCTCTGTGATGCGGTAATAGTTATATTAGGCACCCTGAAAGACGTGGAAGTGATAGACTACACGAGCACTACAGCAAGCTCAAAAACAAAGTTTCATTTTCAAAGTTATGTTCTCATTGTACGCAACATCAACGCAAGCCATCTTTGAATGAGAGATTGTTTAGCAAGCCGTTTCTTGTGAGTGATTCGAAAAAAACCATGATCGTCTTAATGGATATGTCTCACAGTATGAGAATAAGACCCTTTATCCACCCCTGGTGGTCAAAAGAAGGAGGCACCAGGTAGCCCAAGCAATTATTGCGACGTGATGACGGTGATCCTAACATCCTGAGTATATACAACGTGAGAATCATAGAGAACAGGTAAATGCAATGGTGTCTGCGAGAAGACACCTAAGCGATTGAAAGCTTACACCCCCCGACAACGTGCCCGTAGGTCTACGAGGGTGCGAACGCTCATTCTCAGCGCGAGTTTTTTTCGCTGGGTTGCGAATGACCGTGTCATGTCTATGACAGTCTGTGGTTAAAATTGTACTTCTCAGCACTGAAATTGAACGCAGAAACAACCAAGTTATACCTAGATAAAGGCTAGCGATAACTTGGAAGCAATCTAGAACCTGCATCATCTTTGACTCGGAGACAACCTGGAATCAACGCGATTCTTCAGAATTTTCAAACAAAGAAAGTAAGACAACAAGAAGAAAAGCAGCAAAATAAACCAGGGCTGAATTCTTAGGCTACACTAGGTCTGCACTGGAGACTCCAGCACTGTAGGCCTGCACTGAGGAAGGGTAAAGTGGGAAAGAGAGTTATAGAGGAGCAGGCCAATCACTGCAAATGTGCAATGAGAGACAGTAGACTCCGACGTGACACAGAAACCTGCCTTCCGCTTTTAGTGAACGTGCACACTGCGAAGTTTTATTGTTCAACAACGGACAGGCAAAAGCTCCCGCCGGTAGTACCTTAGAGGTAAAGATCCAGTGCCTGTATATACGCAGTGATCAGTGAACGGTTTTACAGCGCGAGCAGCTGCTGTTTTCAATCAAGGAACTCGCTAGCAGATACTGCCTGCGTCGGTGCTGCGAGGAGAAAGAGGAGAGAGCATAGGAGAGAAGGGAAAGAGGGATAAGAGCATGCGTAAAGGGTGTGAAAGAGAAGGGGGGGAGGATTTTTCAGAAAAAAAGCGGAAAGGTCAGAAAAAGGGCTGTGGAGTGCACGCTCACTGTCTCTCATGTGAGGGCACCTCAACCGATACACTCACGAGGGAACGGGGAAAAAAGAGACAGTTACAGTGAAGAAAAGAGAGTAGGCTAAAAATAATTGGGGGAGGGGGAATGAAGTCAATAAGGAAAA